TGTCTCTCTGTGTGTGTCCCTCTCTGTGCCTGTCTGTCTGTCAAAGCCAGGCGCGCGCGGGGGGGGTGCGGGTCAGAGGGGAAGTGACGTTGCAGGGCGCGAGCACCTTTTTTTTTTTAAACGCACAAACAGAACCGATTCGGTCCCGTTCAAAAGACTTTAATGACGTCATACTTCATTAATACTTTCATGACCTCCGGGCGGGCAGGCGGGGGGCGTCAGCAAGCGGAGCTTCATACGAGCACGTAACAAATAAAAATCAACACTTTCTAGAAAAGGAATAGATACAGAAACTTAAACTAAAGCTGCTCGGCGTCTCCTGCACTGCGTGTGAGGTCGATCAATACCCAGGCCGATCGGCTCATTTGATCAGCGATCACTTATTCAAGAAACCAGTAACCAACAGTGACCCCCCAGCTTCTCTACCTCTCTGTGTGTCTCCTGGAGAGCGAACTGGGGTCTGCGGAAAGACAGATTCCCAATGCAAGACATTGGATCTGGACAATAAATTGATCTGATCCGACTTTACCGACGTGACAGATCGCCACAGTGTTGTTAAAGCGTCACGCCTGGAAACGGTTAATGCCGATGAATGAATGATTAACTTCCGACTGAACTCCTGTACAGCCTGTGTTTTTGTGGTGAACTCTAGGCTTCGTCTTCACCTCCTTCATCCTCATCGATTGAATTAAATCCTCCCCGACTCTGGATTCTACTTCAATCAAAAAGCCGAACATTTGAGTATTTTTAAAGGACAGTGGATCTTCATCGTGCACCGTCTCTGCAGACACCGGTGCAAGTTGCCACAGCTTTGATCAATATTATTGATTAACAGTAATGATACTATTTGTCAGATAACGTCAGGTTTTTAAGATAACTCTGGGCTTGTGAAATAATGGAGCTACTTAGAAACTGACCGTCGGGCGAGCCGGCAAGTTTATATCAACGGGCTGTTGTTTTTGTATTGTAACCGTAACCCTGCATATAGACACTGTGACCAGCAGGTTTAATCCGCCACGCTGGGATGAGGCAAAAATCACGTTTCGCCCTTACCAAGATGGCGGCGGCGCCTTCACCCCCCGCTGTGGCCCCGCCCGAGACGCTCGCTCTCTCATCCGCCATTGGCCGCTGCCCCGGGTGACGCCCCAGGGGGCGGGGCCGTCGCCGTGGGGACGCCCCGGGAGGGGGCGTGGCGCGCCGTCCCACTTGCAGCCGAGGCGGAAGTGTCGTGTTGTTTTGGAAATATCCCGTAACAATGGAGCCCAGCGGCGAGAGTCACAAGGTAAGCGGGTCAGGGCAGTGCGCTGCCAGCCCACAGCCTCCGTTTCTCTCTGGATCTTTTCTGGGGTTTTAACTGCGACAGTTCTGGGGAGTCCGGGAGAGTAGACGTGGCGACACCTGGATCAGCTGTCCCCGCTGGCAGCTCCGGACAGCGGACTTGGACGACGCCTGCGGAAACAGGGTGTCTGCTCGCTCTCTCACCCCCACGACCCCCCGACCCCCCGACCCCCTTCTCTTGTGACCCCCTGTGCTCTGTGTCTCGCGCACAGCATGGGCCAGGCCGCCGTGTCGACGTCACACTTTCTCCAGCCAGAGAGTTAGAAATAGACTCGGTCCTGATACCCCACACACACACACACACCCCGTCTCTCGCTCTGTACCTGTCTGACTCTCTGTGAGTGTCTCTCAATCTCTTTCAGTGTGGCCGTCTCTCTGTGTCTGTCTCTGTTTGTCTCTCTGTCTCTCTGTGCCGGTCTGTCACTGTGTGTGTCTCTCTGTGCCTGTGTGTCTCTCTGTGCCTGTCTGTCACTGTGTGTGTCTCTCTGTGCCTGTCTGTCTCTCTGTGTGTGTC